TATTTGTTGTTCTATATTCAATGTAATCCCATATGTGGGGTTTGGGGAGGGTCATGTGTACACAGACCTTACCCTTACCTTGGTAAATCAGTCCAGTGATATATAAATGAACCATAGTTGATATTACCTTGTAATGACTAAAATTAGAAATCTCACTCCAAATGACCTAATATCAAGCAACCATCTCTTCCACCAATATCCTATCACTCAATGAAAGTTTGTCACAAGAAAACAAAAGAGAAAGCCTTGTGTGCACGAAAGAAAAAGGCTAAATTTTTCTAAATTCAACACTTTCACAATCACACCTTCAACTGACATTGACTCATCCCAATCGTTGAAATACAACAGGCAGTCATGTATTAATGTGGGGAAACAAAAAATCTCTTCTACTTCAATTTGCCTGCTTTCCCATTTGAAGAGAACAAACAGAAGCACTTCCTTCACATTCTACCTACATAGCCCATTAAGAATTCAACAGGTAGTCTCACTATACTTGATCTTATGCAAAACAGTCAAGATATTTAGCTAATCGTCAAGCCAGCCAAAGAGAAATCCGCCAAAATCCTAGAAAGGACATACCTTTTGATCCTCTTCAACGTCTCAGGACTGACCTCAGTCTTCGAACCTGTCTTAAATCTATTCTTCAGAACCTCATTCCCCCACTTCAATCTATCTGTAGTAACATCTCCACACCACAAAATCCCCTTTATCAAGTGTCCTGAGCCTGAAGCAACTAACTTTGCCGCAGTCGCATTGTACTCCTCCACATTGGGCGCCAATGTGGTCCAATACGCCACACATCTCTCTTCCAACACCTCCTTCTTCTTCTCCGACTTTAAATCCGCCGGTGACAACTCCTTCGCCACCGGTCCACCTAATGCTGCCGCGGCCTTCTCCTCCACTTTCTGCACTGCAAAGTTGCTGTAACTTTCCAAAATGCCATCCAACTCCTTCAATAACTTGTCCTGTCCTTTGGAAGCAATCGTCAAACCATAATTCAACGAGTCATTGGCCGAGTCACTGACTGATGATTCTTTATCCAATTCATCGTCTTTGGGAGCTTGAAATGAGAAAAAGTAATGCGAATCATCGAGCTTTACCGCGGCGAGGTCCTTAGTCAACGGCCACTGGATTTCATTTCCAACACGAACAAGTACTGCGACGATATTGTTCCCTTGTCGGAGACGATGTAGGAATAAATCGCCGGTGGCGAGTTCAACGGAATAGTGCTTGTCAATCAAGTGAAGAATGGAACCGGGGATAACGAGAAGGGTTTCTTCAAGGATTTCAGGAGGGGCAGATGGTGAAAAATGCTGTTCTTCAGGGGCAGTTTGGTCATTTTGAGGGAAGAGATTTTCTACAAGGTCGTTCATGTCAATGGTTGGATAAAGGTTTTGGCGAGAGGAAGATGAAGGGAAAGGGGCATTTTGGTCAACTGCTACTTGTGGATACATTGAAGAGGAATTAGGGTTTTTGGAAGCCATTGAAGTAGGAAGAATGATCAAAGTGAAGTTGAAGAAAAAAATTTCCGAGAAAAAAATAAATAAAGAGAAAAGGTACTTATTGGCCAAACGCGTAAAAGTACGCGTCATTGGTAGTTGGCCAAATTAACTGTCTTGGGAATTTCCCGCTATATGTTTTCGGGAGAATATAATATCATAATTTAGGAATAGAGTTTGCGATGGCTGACCCAACCCAACCCGTTATTTGGATAGGATTGGAATATAGTTTTTTAAGCCCATTTAAAACTAGAGCTTATAAGTTTGATCCATAAAAGCCCTTGACCCTTGAGGTTTGATCTGGGTCGTGTCGGGGTTGGCCCATGGGTCAAAACTATTTATTGAAGGGTAACTTATAATAATCTCACTAGTATATGAGTTAATTACTTAAATGCACACTACGTTGTGATATTATGAATCTTACCAAAATTTGGTACGATCGAATACATGTATCTCGGGATACATGAACTCAAAATTAGGTTAAGTTGTTCTAATTACACTTTATCCAGTTGGATTCGCTTGTATCTAGGATATATAGACAAATCATGCACCCTCGCCTCCCTCCCATCATGCTTGCCACTCTCTTATCCGGCACGCGTATCTGGGATCTAGACACATGTATCATAGATACATGCTAATTACACTAGATTTTTTGCTAGTGTTATTAAAACAACACTATTGTTTGTCATATTTGATTTGAAAATCTTCTCATTTTTTTGATGTTATAGAATTTTAAATTTGAAAAGAAAAACAAAACAAAAAAAAAAAAAAGGCTAGCTCGCCCCAGCCCTCAGTCCTTCTAGGATTGGATAGGGTTGAACATTTTCAGGCCCTTTCAAATGAAGGGCCGACCCGCCCTAGTCCTTCAAATTCCTTGGCCCGCAAGGCTTGGATCAGGTGGGGCTGAGCCGACCCTTTTGACAACTCTATTAACTTTGTACCATATTTAGTTTGAAATATTAGTTAATTTTGAAATAACATTGATAAAATAAGTTATGCATATATTTTCATTTTCATTTGTAAAAACCAAAAAGTTGAGTTTTAGTTACTCTACTTATATTCATTTAGAAAATGTTTTATACAATCTTATGATAATTTATAGGGTGGATATCCTATAAAATATCCTATGGGACTTTTTGAGATTATATACCAAATGAACTGTATTTATATTAAAATTGCAAATTTTAAATTATGTGGGATATTTTTTCTTTTTCAACTATTAAAAATAGGACAATGATATCCTTTTATCTAAGTTAGGTTCTAAAATAATTCTCATGGCTTGCCAAACTGGCGTAGTTATGTCCTCAAACTATGATTTAGGTTCGATTTTTTTTTTTAATAAAGGACAAAAAATATTTGTCTATTATTAAAATATGATAATTGTAACTTTTTTATTTGATTTTAGTACTAAAAAACCCTCTTCATCATTAGCCAATTTGCAAAGTAGTTGCAAAATCACATAATTACTAGAAATTATTAGTGTGTTAATTTTAATAATGTGTATATATATGATGAAAGATAGAAAAGATCTCAAGAAAGAACTTAGTAAAGCAACACAAAAGAAAAAAAAAAAAAAACAGCCAATAAGCAAGCTGTAATTGAATTGCAATCAACGGAAAAATTTCATATCTCATCAACCAAGAAAACTATCGAACATAATTTATACCATCATAAATCGAGGAGAATTCATAAGGAACCTATCAAGAAGCCCTCAATCAAGAAAGTAATCATGACGTAAATCTTATTTGGAGTCCCTAAATCTTGTCTAGAGAGAATTTTTTTCTTAAAGTTGATCAACGGACTAATTGATTGAAAGTCAATCAAGATCTTATTTTTGGAAATAAGATTTTCTTTTTCTTTTTTAAGGATCAAATCTCTTCTCAAAAGACCTTCAAGCTAATCATCTATTTTTATAAAGTCTTGATTGAAAAAAAAAATATCAACACATCTGACCCAACTCTGAAGCTTTGTCATACTTTTAACAAATATTTTTTTTTCAGTGAATTACTGTGTATTTAACAAAGTGAAGAAAGAAAAATATTATTCGTAAGACTTTGTATCAAAAAAAAAAAAAAATTTTAAAAAGAGAAAAAGTTGAGTGTAGACGTAGGAATTATACTCGGCAAGCATTGTACAAGTCATACTCAAAAGCTAAAAAAATAAGGAGATTGGACTAAGATTCATTTTGAATCCCAATCATTATAAAAATATTTGTTGTTAAATTTTCTTTCAACATTTTATTGTTTATTGTTTTTCTGTTAAATAGTTGACTACTAGAAATAAAAAATCGATTGAAAAAAAAAAGATCAATTCATCCGTCCTTTACACTTCCAATTGATATCATATCTATTTGTTTTATAACAAGTGAGAAAAAATGATGTCTCAACAAATCACCAATGTAATGTCATTTCAAGAAGAAACTTCACAACTCAGCCCCTCTTTACTTTAATGAAAAATATTGCTCACACTGAAAAGTAAGAATGGAGACCTTCATCAAGTCATATGATGTTAAGATATAGAGAGCCATCAAGCTTGAAGTTATTACTATTCTCCTTACTAGGAAAGATGACAAATGAGTAATGATGGACAAGCATAATACAATTTTTGGCAAAGGGAACTCCTCTGTCTTATATATTTATCATTAATGTAAAGAAGTTATGATTGGACTAACATATCCTTAATTTCCTTTAACAAATTCTTTAAGTGCTATTTCTCCACAGGACAGGACCTCCCTAGTCCCTACCATATCGTTATTGCAAACACTGATTTTGTTCCACGTTCTTCTTTCGTTTCTTGTTGGAAGAATTAATTGACTAAAATGGAACATATTCAGAGTTGTAAATAATGATATTCTATTTCTTTATAATTTAAAAATGACAATGCTATAAAGTTGTTGCTTTGAAAGCTTAAAAGTAGAAAATAAAGCAGAAATACTCATTATAATTCAAATAAAACATTTTATGGACTCCAGAACAATAACTAAAGTATAGTAATGTGTCAAAAGAAATCTTCTTGAAAAGAATAATAATTAAAAAAAACAAGAAAATGAAGCATAAAGAAGGAAGTTGCAAGCGTTGGAGCCTCTGACGATAACATCTCAAGGGAATGACAATTCCTAATAACTCAACAACAATAACAATATACTCCGTGAGTGAGGTCTCGAGAGGGTGGTGTACGCAGATCATAGCCCTACCTCGTGGAGGTAAAGAGAGTGTTTCCAAAGGACCCTCAGCTCAAGTATAACATATCAAAATTAGACTAATCGGCTCTAGCAGACAACCCACATTCTTTTATTCTCTTCTTTTTTCTTCACGTTTCTCTGATTTCCAGAAAAAGGCGAAGACTCGACTGGTTGCAAATTGATACTTGACATTACAGCGCGAAAAATTGCATCATTATACAAGTGAAGTTTATTTACTTACAAAACAGTACACACATTTGGACTAACAACAAAACAATAGCTATAGCTTTCTGTCTCTCAGTAAAATCAAAAATTGGCTTCCCAGATCTATTACAAAGAAAAAACGCCACTGCAATACCTGTGCAAATTAAGAAAGTTAACATGAGACCAACAATATTCCAAAGATAGGGTTAAACCCTTTTCACTGCAATGGGTTTACTGGAAAGTCTAACTTATATATACACAGTGCGCGAAAGAAATTTCAATGAAATTCGTAATCTGAAAAACAAGGTGGATTGTACTTGCTACAATAGGTTAAAATGTATATATTTTTAGGGCCAGATATATGTAAGTTAAATCCTATTGGAAACATAAGAAAACAGGGAGCTCATAGAGAACTTATTGATGCACATGTAGGTTCAAAAAATCCTTGTGATTTCAGAAGTACTTCATTAGAACTTAGAAGTGAAAATTTTCAGTAAATATGATTTTGGCTTGGAAACTTCGCTGGTGGAGATTTTACCTGTCACTGAACTTTTCAACAGCCTCAGAAGCGTAAAGAAGGGTTTCATTGGCTTTCTCAAGTACCATATAAAGCTCCTTCCCTCGTGTCAACCGAGAAATCACCCAAGCACCATTTTTTGCTCTAATGCATATTTCTTGGTCTTTCTCGCAGTCAGAGTCATCACATTTAGCTCTGCTCTTTTCTAAGTCAACCTCTCCTCGAAGCTTACTCATTGCAACTAAAGAATCCTGCACACGTAATCAGACTTTTTAGAGTAACAGTTAAAACTAATATTACAGTACACAAACCTGATCACCATGGCTAAATCATCCCATGAGAAAAGAACATTACCAATTCATGATTAACTCTCATTAAGCAAATGTTTTGTGAACTTAACAAGAAACTGGTCACGTGGTAAATGTTTAGTAACACAGGCACTCATGCATCAAGGAAAATGTCAGAAAGTTATATTCAACATGTACAGAGAGTGTGTATCTAATTACGACATAAATATTGATTGAAAGGTAATTGGGGCTTAATAGGTCACCTAATACAAGAACTTTAGGAGCAGATTTCGGTTCTATACATCTTTAAAACAAGCTACCAAATAGATGTTTGTCAATAAATGGATGAGAGTTTTCAAAATAACAAGCAACCAAGCACCGAAATATACGGACTGTGTGGTAGCCTATTTTTTCTTTTCTAATTTTCAGTTTTACTCGCTTGTGGCAGATAGCTCATATATATTTATTTTTTTATGACAATGGAAACCCGCAGCCGCTACCCTTTGGGTGCGCATAGCTCATATTAAGAGTGCAAGGTAGCCAAAAAACTCATTATGAGCCACATGCAAAAACCTAAGCATCATGGAAGCCACAACAAACACCTCACTTCCAAAGGAAGCTAACAAGAAGTCTCCAACATATCAAATTACATGGGCTCCGAAATTCAACTTATCCAAAAATACAAAAACCCCAAAATTAATGTAAATTCACTTTACCAATACTTAATTTTGTATAAGCCTTCCGACAGCAAGCACAGAAAGATGCAATTTAGCTCGCTCAGCTATACCGATATAATAATAACTCCAATAAATATCTTATCTTCAAAATTTCACTAGTAGTGAGATTCTAAAAGCTTTGACAACCAAAATAAGGAAAGAGGAAGTGATCCAACCTTTGTAAGCGTTGTTACTTTTCCAGGTGGGGATGCCCGAGAGATGTATTTATCACCATCCACAAGTAAGTAGCGGTAACCACTCACATGATATGCATTCTCACCACCCCATCCTCGGGATAGTTTCTCTTCAACTTTGAATATTTTGGGTGAGGCCTAAAATTACAAGATATGTCATTAACTGATCAATATAATAATTCCATCTATCACAATTATGCTCGCCAAAGGAATATCAATCTCAAAAGCAGCGAATATTTTCAGCAAACGAAAATGGGAAGGGAAAACCCACGGAGAACACAAAGAAACATAATCTTGATAAAAGCACTATGATTGATATTTATTTCAGTTATTTTCACTTGAGCTCATATATTTGTTTTCTGTTTTTCTTCTCAAGGAACTTGGCAGAATCTTCTTGCATCAAGTGATTATCACTTCTACTTGTGCCCACTCGACTTATGAGGAGTCAAACCAAGATTAGCTTCGCTAGTAACCACTACTAGCCACTATTTAAAGTCTTCTAAGAAGGCCTGTAAAACCTAGAGCAACAATATACAGATCGGATATGTATTTGTCAACTAAATAAGGCACGAAAACAAAAGGAGAGGAAACCCAGGACCCAGTACAGTGAGCTTCTTAGTAAGGAAATGTCGAGTTTAGAATACAATTAACTTGATACTATTATTAAGTTTGTCAACTAAATAAAATATAGAAGAGGCTTAAGTAGTTATCTCCTTTCCTAGTCAAGAATTCACAAGAGAAAAAACATGGGATACAAAATGTCTAGGACTGACTCTACTTTTGTACACCAAGGAATTCAGTTAATAACCAATCTTAATTACGTCAGAATGATTTAGTAGTTTGTAACTTCTAATTTTGACAAGGGTAAATTATAGATTTCCTTCCATTTTATATTTGCAGTCAGATTGACCTAATGTGTCAGTCTGAACCCATAGTAAAATGCAAGATTGCACATACTGAAACAAAAAATGAAGAATTGGTGGGGTGATTTACAATCCACGACAGTTCAAAATTCCATGAGATACACAAGCTTGGGAGTTGCTATAGATCGCCATGAAGGAAAACTTTCAATCTATTGCCAATATAAACTGAAAAGAGTTCCGATTTTCCTGCTCATAAGAGATTGGCATTTCCCCTTTCTTCGTTCATCCCAGATGCAACAGTACAATAAACTTTTATTTCCTTGATTGTCCATTCTGTCACCAGATAAATTAGGTTTTGCCAGCAACTACTCCAATAGCCTCCCACCTTCACCCTTGCTAACCATTTATCATTGTACATATCCCCAACAAAAGAAGAGGAAATAGAGACACCTTCCTCCTTATATAGAAGGTGTGAGGTATAAAAAGGTCCAAGCTCCCTAGTGACTTTATGCAATTACTTTCTTTTCTGAGAATTGGTAAGTTCTTTATGCAATTACTTTCTTCTCACATCCACCATTGTTAACGTTAACCAAATGCAGAAAATCAACAAGAACCAGGCAGATATTACTAGGCTAACCCTTATCCATAGCAACACAACAACAACAACATACCCACTGAAATCCCACTAAGTGGGGTTCGGGGAGAGTAGAGTGTACGCAAACCTTACCACTACCTGGTGGAGGTAGAGAGGTTGTTTCTGAAACCCTTATCCATAGCCAATGTGAAATTAAGACGAAAAGATTATAATTAACCCACTGAGTTTTATCTTTCAATGTTTCAAAAGAGATCATAGAAAAGCTTTAAGATATAAAGATAAATTTAAACCCTTTTCAAGCCCTGCTGCTATAAATTCCAATTTACAGAATGATGTCCTAAACAAAGGATTCCTAATTTGGAAGTCAGTGAAGGTCAAAATAAACAGCCTACAACAAGAAGTGAGTTAAACAAGGACCAATTTATTTTCAAGAAAATAAGACCATTTGTTGCATTAACTTACATTCTCCAGAATTTGCTGCTTCACCACTGACAACCCTTGCTCCCCATTGTGTACAGATGTGACAGGAATGAGAAGTATTATGGTGAGGCTCTTATGCTGAAAAGCACAAAGATACATCCTCTCCTCTGTTTGCTTGAGCCAAATTGTTGGACTGCTAGGACTCAAGCTGCCAACTTCTGTGCCCCAAATATCAGTAACAAGGAAACCATCCTTCCCTTTGGACCATTTCTCATGCTGTAAGGGCCTAACAACCTGATAGCTACGAACTCCAACTGGAGAAGTATCGCGTGAGTTGTAGTACCGGTCCAGAACAGAGTTAGAGCTTGTTGATAAAGACGCAGAAGCATTAGAAGTAGTACTTCCTTTGCGTAAATAGGACCAGGAGCTAGGTCCAGCGGACAGAGCATTTGGGGTCAACCTCATGACAGTGTACGTGAATAGGTTAATCAGGTCATCCTGAAAAGATGAATAGTGACCATTCATGATTAGAGCAAAACGTGCATTTAAAGGATCCCCCATATATAGTTGGTCAATGCAGACATTACTGGTTTTGAATTGTAACTGCTTCTATAACAAAGTTACTAAAGATAAATCTGGGAACTAGCATAACCTGACCAAGATGATCGCCTAGTTAAGTTGGGACCACCCCGGGTTGAACCAGCCCAAGCTGGTTTCAGCTTAGCGCTGGGCTAGCAAAAATTCTTATAGTTTGGGTCCGGTCTAGGACCAGGACCACTAACCGATTGTACCGGTTCTTTGGTGGGCAGGGCCGGGATTTATTAAAACTTTTATCATTGTATCTATTTAAATAGATTTTGGCAATAATTATTTTAAAAAATGTGAACTGTAACTTTTAAAATTAATCTATTTTTTTTAAAAAATATTATTGGAAAACGTAAATGTGACATGTATTTGTTTAATAGTTTGTAAATTAAAACACAAAATACTTGAGGAAAAATAAGTAAAATAAACAATAGCTATTAGACTATTAGATTTAACGGAAGTACAAATTTTAAAAAAATCATTTCATAAACAAAAAGTTAACAAAAGAAATCTCAATCTAATATAATGAGATAGCATAATCATGTTCGAATATATTTCGTTCTTTTGTGTTTGAATCATTGTTGACCACTTGATTTCTTAGTTCAGCTTTAACCCAACCTTCTAAGTTAACAAGAACCTCTGCTGTATTCCCCGAGAGATGCAACGGCACAAACTGGAATCACCAGTTTTAGTTTTTATTTTTGGTTTGTAGTGTTCTTTTCCCTGACGATCACAGACTGTCCAATTTGGAAGTAGTTTCCCTTTGACCCAATTCATAGGCTAGAAGTCCTGAAATTGGCCCAAACCTAAGCCTGGACTAGCCAGGCCCAGTAAACCTTCCTGGGTCTATTTTCTGGGCCAGTTTCCTAGGCTAACCCTATCCAACTGCCAGGTCTAACAAGACTAGAAGTATAAAGAGGGAAAGTTCAAGTAAAAATGAGAGAGAGAGAGAGAAGCCTACAGGAGAAAGAGTTGTGGACACCAGCAAATCCTGGAACATGATCAGTGAGTAGCTCTGTTTGCAGCCAGCACATGATTCTAGCACTCTTACAAGTGACTGCGAATGCCAAATGCAAGAAACTGTAATTAGAATGGCAATAGATCAAAAGATGATGGCATCTGCACAATAACGTTACCCTTACTAACAAAAATTACATTGAGGCATTGGATTTCATACACACCTCAATCAAGAGGGGACATAAAAAATAGAGGTCAAATAATCAGTTAGGCCATTTATTATTTTTGAGAATTGATAGCATTGTCTATTTCGGCATTAAGGGTATGCTGGAAACCTTTTAGAAAATCAGAAAAGAACAAAAAGTAATACTAAGAATTCTACAAATTGATCTGAATCCTCCAATTTTATCTCTTTACACCAAAAATATAGAGATACAATGCAATTCTATTTAACCTTGAGAATGAAATTCGATATATCTTCAAAATTCCTATTATTCATCTCTTTCCACACTGTCCACCAAATGCAATGTGGAATTAAATTCCACTAGGTCTTCTGTCCCTTTCTACCTCCTCTCCTAATCCAGCACCTCATCAAATCAGTTGTATGTTCTTGCATTGTCCATTTCACTTCTGAAAAGTTGAGAAGCATGGACCATATTTGTGATGTGATAGTACAGTGTAAGAATAGGTGACTAGTAGTTTTCCCTATCTTCCCACATAAAGAGCACCAGGAAAGTATGATCCTTCCTTTCCTCCTCACAACTACATGTGTCAAACATGCCTTTTTGATGACCAACCAAGTAAAGCACTAAACTTTTGTTGGTGCTGAATTCCTCCAAATCTTTTTCCATAAACTCTGATGTCCGCTGCTTTGCAGGTTGCACTCCTCCTTGTATGCCCTGCCAACTATGAAGATCCCATCCTCACTGTGAGACCATCTAACTATCTAACTTCATCATTGGTTGTATTAGTACCTGCAAAATCCCCCACTTCCTACAATAATTTGGCTACTCTCTCTATTTTCCAATCATTTTGTAGCCTTTTGAAATAAAAGTTCCAACCTTGTTCTATCCAGCAAGCACTGATCATTGCCTCAGAATTAGTGCACAAAATAAATAGATCAGGAAACGGGTCCATCATGGATGCCTGTTTGATCCATACATCCCACCAGAATCTAGTTTTCCTTCCCTCCCCCACCTTGAAATGTAAATTTGGTTCTAGCTTGAGCCATAAGTTTCTAATAGCTCTCCTAGCCCCCACTCCAGTCTCCATAAGCATCCATGCTTTCCTTACTACACCAGAATCCATCCTCCCCATATTTACATTTAATCAAGTCTTTCCACAAAGTTTGCCTCTCCTCAGTATATTTCCACAACCATTTTATCAAAAGGTAGTTGTAATGCTTCCTCAAATCTCTGATGCCCAAACCACCTTTATCTTTTCTATGCTAAACTGCCTTCCACTTGACTAGATTGTATCCTTTGATCTCTTTGCAGCCATGCCAAAGGAAATCTCTCCTAAGTTTGTCCGATTTCATAGCCATCTTTGCAGGTAGAGGAAAAAGAAACATAACATATGTTGGGAGAGAGAGAATCTAGGACAAAGTTGATAATGATGTGTCTACTACCAAGGGAAATATATTGTGTTTTCCATCTAACTAGTCTCTGTTCAGTCTTATCTACTATGTTGTCCCATTTCTCCAAATCTGTGTGTTTATTGCCTAGAGGCATACCTAAGTAGGTTGTGGGAAATTTTTTCACTTTGCAACCCAAAATGTTAGCTAGCCTCTTGATGTTTGTCACATTCCTGATGGGATATAAACTGCTCTTTCCCCAATTAATGTTCAAACCTATAGGAGCTTCAAAAAAACAACAAAATTTGTTTGATGAAACTAAGTTACTCCTCATGTGGCTCACAGAAGATCATTGTGTCATTTGCATAAAGTAGATGACAAAGTTCTTTACTATCACCATTGTTACCACTAATTTGGAAACCTCTCATCCACCTGTTTTGAGTAGCAATCCTCATCAAACTATCAAACCCCTCCATTAGCAGGATAAATGAGAAGGGAGATAGATCACCCTTCCTGATTCCCCTGCCTGAAGAGAAAAATCCCACAGGTTCGTCATTTATAAGAATTGAGAATCTCACCATGCTTATGCAGAATTTTATCCATCTCACACATCTTTTTCCAAAACCCATTTGTCTCAAATTGTTCAACAAGAAAAAAAAACCCCAATTTACATAATCATATGCCTTCTCAATGTCCAACTTGCACAGTATCTCTAAGGTGTTCCCTTTCCAACTAGACACAACACACTCACTTGAAATGAAAGCAACATCCAATATTTGTTTTCCTTTAATAAAGGTCATTTGGTTTTTGTTGACGAGCTTATCAATCACCTTTTTCAACCTTTCCGCCAGTAATTACGGTATAACTTTATAAACTACAGTAATCAGACTTATTGACGTGAAGTCCTTTAGTTCTGCAACACCTATTTTTTGGGGATGATTGCTACAAAAGTAGCATTAAAGCTCTTCTCAATCTTCTGAATAGCATAGACTTCCTGTATAGCCTTTATGATATCCTTTTTCAAGATCTCCCAAAAGGAAAAATAAAAGGATTATGGAAAGACCATCAGGTGCTTTCTCCATAGTACAGAGTTTTAAGCAACCCAAGATCTCTCTCCTCAAAAAGACTAATTTTATTTGCTCCTCTACACTGATGTTTGCGATCCCCTATAACTGTAGCTCAGGCCTCCACTCCTCTGGTTCTTTTTACAAATTTTGGTAGAAGCTTTTGATGGTCTCTTAACTGATAAAAGGGTCATTTTAGTATTGCATCCATCCACCATGAGAGACTCAATGGAATTGTACCTCTTGTGAGAAGTAGCTACTCTATGAAAAAACTTAGTAACTTTATCCCCCTGCTTCAGCCACAAACCCGGTATAGTCCCTAATGCGGGATTTGAGAGGGTAAAGTGTACGCAGACCCTACCACTACCTCGAGGAGGTAGAGAGGTTGATTCCGGAAGACCCTCGGCTCGAGTAACGATTATCAGAGTTGCTAACAGAACAATACAAAGGTAAAGAGTACATAGAAAATAATAATGAAAACATAACATACCGATGAGGGGCAATAACCATAACTAACTAATGTGATAACGAAGTACAGTAAATGATGAGGAATAACAAAGGTCGTAAGATAGGCCAACTAAGAGACAAACGCTACTAGTACTAGTAAAAAATAAGAATCAGGAAACAAATGCAATGCACCAATCAATCCTACTAGGAAATAAGACGACGCTCAACTACCTATTAACCTTCTACCCTAATTCGCGACCTTCATAACTTCCTGTCTAAGGTCATGTCCTCGGAAAGTTGGAGGAGTTGCACCACAACGAGGATTCTTGATCTATGCCTCCACCTTATTTCTTCATTCTAAACTACTTACTCATAGGTGATAGCCAACTTTTTTTTGTTGGACCTCCTCCACTGTGAGCATTCTTTTGTTCCTGCACAGCTTCCCATTTGGCCAACTCCTCCATAATCTCCTCCTTCCGTGCTTTACAAATGTTTCGGTTATTCTTACTTCATTCCTTCATCTTTCCTTGTAACAATTTCAGCTTTTCTGCTAGAACAAAACCTGGGTTCCATTTATTGCAAAGACGCTGCCACCACAATCTCACCTCTTCCTTAAATCCTTCCACTCTCATCCACCAATTTTCGAATTTGAAATAGAACTTCTTGAAATTCAGATCCCCACATGCCTGTAAGAATTGGGTTGTGGTCAAATCCCACCTTACGCATTGTAGTTTGCCCGATAAGAGTGACTGCTCCTCTCATTGTGAGCAATAAAAGCAACTATCAATTCTGAAAGTTGTATGTTGTTGTTGTTGTTGGAGAGATTATATCATTCAGTATGTTTGAATTCTAAAACTCCATTAAAGTTGTGTAGCACATTACTCTGTTTAAGAGTGTGCCGAAAAGGTGGTAATGACTTGCGGCCCTCTTAATACACAGTGCACTTTGAAGTTGAGACATTCCAAAAAAGAAACATAGTTCACATGAATTGCCCAAAAGAGAAAGAAACAAGAATCAGGAAGGTTGGAAAGACCACAAAAAATGTTTAGATTTACTGTCTAAGATGTTACCAAATTACATATATTATCTATTTTCCTATAGTATAGTAGCTGTAGGCAGAATCTTTTACGCAACTCAAGATGAGAGTTTAAAATTTTGTTATCTCACAAAAGAGAGATGGAGAGAACGTTAAGCTACAGTTGTTCATTATTAAAGCTGTTATTAGCTTAAGTTTTAGCTTTGTCGCTATAAACATATGTTCTAATAATGTTAATGAGGTCATGGTGTACATGCTAAAGGTGGAAGATAAAGCAAGTCCACCAGATGTTTGATATACTGAGACTTTGGAGTTTTTGGAACTATTCCTCCAACTACACGGGGCTAGCCGATTAGAAGGCTAGCGTAATAGCTAAAGGAAATGGTGATAACCAATTTTTTCTTTCATTCCTAGAGTGTGAGTTCCATTACATGAAGATCTCCCGGCAATCAAGTAGGGACAGCTAAAAGTGTAAAAGTAGTGAACAAACATGTGTGTAAACCTATATGCTTGAGCTAATAATCTTTATTCTTCCTTACACAGTGGACTGGAACACTTAATCTTTATTAAGGCATTCATAAAATAGAACAGCGCCAAGTGTTTCAGTAATGACATCATGATTAATTTCTAAAACGATAGTAGCTGGGATTTTCTTGGACATCAAGATGCCATGACCTTTTGGCAGAAGCTATCATGTGAAAAGAGTGAATTATGGTGGCTTTAGATTAGACCAGAGAAGCCAGAACTTGCTCCTAACTAGAGCAAATCAAAGCAACTGTGCAAACCTGATCAATTTTTGTCAACAAGATGAGCACACAGACACAGAGCTGAGCAATATAATGAATAAATCCAGCAAAACAAATAAATCCACAGATTTATGATTTATCTATTCGTCCCAGTATGGCCAGGCCTTCAGTGTAATCAATAAACTGACAAGACAAACCTGAACTTCAAGTGCTGCCTCCCTCCCAATAGTCAACATCTGTACCATTCCACGCTCCTTCAAAGAGTCACGGAAATTTGGCAAGTGAAGCTTCTTCCCAGAAAGAAAATCTGCCACAGAGGAAAATTAATAGGCAAAGCATTCAAGATGCAGTCTAATGTTCAAATTGCACAAACTGAAATGAACTTATTAGATACAGAAGCTACAGTATTACCCCAGCAGCGAAATTCCAATGAAGGCCGCTTTTCAAATGCTGACAATCATGACTTGCAATGAAATAATTTGAACAGGAATATTTTCTTATAAAAGTGATAAAATGCATATTTTCAAGGTAGCTAATGATGCCTCACCACTTAAATAATCCATGATGAAATAATACAAATGTGTCCGGGTAAGCCCTCCACTTGGTTCTCTATCAAGTAATGCTCTTATGGACCCATGAAACATCACAAAGAGAGAGTGAACTTCTTTAAGAACACTTCGTAAAGCAGCAGTCCGCCATATGGCTTCTGACTCACTTTTTTCCACAACCTAATACCACCAGAAAAGCAAATACATAACAGAAGAGTCATAAAGCATAATAAATTTCTTCTGCAATGGAAATAAAACGTGAGGAAATTTGAGTTAGTCCAAAAGATGTGTGCATCAAGCCTTTCTTGTTTTCATAAGAAAATCATACTTAGCTTCCTTGTCAAAAAGAGGCAAGTCATACTCACCTTCTTTTTTTTTTGAAATTGATAACTTGTCATACTCATCTTTTCACCAACAAGAAATGATAGTCATGCTTAATTCATTCCATCTTGTCCAGTCAAATTTATTAAAGAATTTCTGGGAAATCTATTTCACAGCCAACTACATATACAAATCATAGTATTGCATTAAGCACCCTATTGAATTAGAGATATTATACTCATCGACATCATAGAAAATATTGATACAACTCCATAAATCACTGGTGTCTCTCAAGGTTGTTATGTCTATATCCAGCATGAGACCAACCTTACTCCATTGTTAGACCGTTAACGACATGTCTGAGCATGCCAAGAAGTAGGGACCTGCCATGGTCAGTACGGAAGTTTTGCAACTATGATGTTTGGCAGTTTATTTAGACTTCAACCAGAAGTATTATGGAACAAAATTTCCTTTTGAGTTACCACTTCTCTAGTTCTCTTTTCATTCTCCCTAATCTAGTCCTCAATCTTCTAGACTTCAGTTCACTCCATGTGACAGTCCTGGAACTGTTCATACTAAAATTATTCAAGTATAGCAAGGACAATACAAGACGCAAGTCAGGATGTACCGGCAGATTTTATTATTTTTTTTCGTTGGATGAGGTAAATTTTTATTTAGAAACAGTACCAAGATGGTACTTCAGCAAATATTAAAAGCGGGACTTGTTTCCGTTATACATTCTGATTCTAACAAGCCTGTTAAATTATTCAAATTCAAAAGTAAATTCCGGTTCATACTCACAGATGTCAAATCTAATGCTATTTAATCTGATGGTACAGGATGTAGATATCTTAAAAGGTAACTGAACTATGAGAAATTATCTAACAAAGTCATTGAATTTTATTTTGTATCGATAAATTCACTCAACTTACAGCTTTTATCTTTAAAAATCATTTAACTACATTAATGCTTAAAATAATTTTAACATGACAAATTAAATTAATTTTTATGCTATTTAATAATAAACCCAAAAATAAACAAAATTATAGAATCTATTTAAGTTATTCCATATAATCATATACCCCGTGAGTAAGCAAAATTGTAGAATTTTTTTAATTTTTATGCCGTGTATATTTTTTCTCCTTATTTGACATGATTTTCTTTTTTCAAAATAAGTAGCTGTGTTTTTCTGGATTACAGAAGGTTACAGATGGTCAAAGTTTAATATTTTATTTGAAACACTTCTTGCCAACATTGGAGATGAAATTAAAGAGAAATAAATAAATCCAATCTGTGACATTCAGCTTAGAAGTAAAGAAAGAGGTTGAAGAAGCGGGAGATTTAGCTTTCCAGAGGAACTATGGTTTTACTCTTGAGATGAATCTAATTTACGGGGAGATTGAATATAAATAAAATAGATTTTATAATTTTGTTTATTTGTGGATTTATTATTAAATGGCTTAAAAATAATTTAATTAACCATATCAAATTTATTCTAATGATAGATGTAGTTGAATGATTTTTGAAAATAAAAACCTTAAGTTGAGTGATTATATTGATACAAAATAAAGTTCAATGACTTTACTAGATAATTTCCTAAAATTGAGTGATCTTTTAAGATATTAACTCCAGGATGTAGCATCAGATCTATGAAATTTGTGAGTTATATATCCACTTATATCCAACAAAGCTTACATCATTGAGATTATAGCCAGCCTCCATAATGATCATACTTTCAAATTGTAGCAGGTAGGACAGACCAACATCATATAATCTCCCAAAACCAGTTTAGATAATCAGTGATCACCACATGTAATTATTTAATCGTATAGTTGGCAGAACTTTCCTTCATCCAGTTCACCAAAAAATTCTTTACAATTTAACCATGACAGGTAACATGAAATGGCAGAAAAGTTCACTAATTGAATAAAGAAAAATGATTATATGAGTGCAAGAGGTCATACCATCACCATCCAGATATCACGCTCTGCCTCATAGAAAACATGAGAGTGCATCTCTGCTTCTATAACCTCACATGGAGCCTCTGGAGAAAATATTCTGCACGGAATGAAAAAATATAAAAAAGATCATCATATCACATGAAAGAGTCATCTAGCATACAACTGCAAGAAGTTGACAACAACATCCAGATGGCTCAGTTCACATATCAAGGAATATCTACCTTACAGAGCAAGAAAATGAAGATAAATATAAGATGAAGAACGACTCTTGGTCTTAAAATAACCCATCCACGTCAGAATCACATTGCTCTTCATTAAGAAAATCAATTTCAATTTAGGTACAATCATCAAGCTCTTTTTCTAAAACAACTTTAATGTCTCTAATATGAGAATACACAAACATGAGCACAGCTATCTTTCTACCTAATGATATGGCTGAAGAATCCTTTGGATAAGAATGACTATTTATGAAAGGAGATGAACAATGAAAAACATATCCCTAAAGATAAGAACTGAAGCTATATCCAGGAATACAGATTTAAAATCACATTGCAGATCAACTATTGAAACAGCATTAAAGAAGTAATGTAAAAATATAAAATCATAGCAATCCAGATATCCCATCTTTAAGCAAGAGTTTTTCGAAGAACCACATGAATCTTTTATTTATTTATTTATTTTTGATGGGTAAAGAACCACATGAATTTTTTATTAATTTATTTTTGATGGGTAAAGAACCACATGAATTTTTTATTTATTTATTTTTGATGGGTAAAGAACCACGTGAATTTCTACTCATTAATAGATACAGGTTTAGATGTGAGTGCCAGTTGCAACAAACCTGGTGAATGTTATGAGTCCTTCACTAAGCCCTATCACAGAGAGTTGGGTGGGGAAAGGCAAATCAGCAGGAAAGAAATATAAAATCTTGTCCAACTCCTGCCCTTCATGTTGACCCCTTCTCAAATCAAATATGCACAATTTCATAGCTTCACTAACAGAGCTTGCAGCCGAAATTCCCATTTATCTGCTTCCTTCCTATGACTGAGATATCAAGTTTCCAAATCACAAATTAGACTAGGTTCACAAACAAAACACAGCAAATATGAATTATCATACAAGATTTTATTGATGTAATTTTACAACACGCATGCATTACGTCTACATAGTTAACCCCTCAGCTTGTAGCCAAATTCCTTTTACACATCCCAGTTCCACAGGAACTTTTACACACCAACCAAACGTGTGTCTAATAAACACCTCTCTAAATATGTAGCAAGTGCATATTTCACACAGAAAAAGGGCGAGTGCATGGACCACTTAAAGAATCTTATCTAACAAACAAAAAAACAATCTCCTTCCCCAAGACAAACAAATCCCACCCTTCTTTTATGGTGGTTCAGCTCAAGTTTTCAAACCAAGGTATTGATCCACTGTTTCAATCTGGTTTTCAAGCTTCCAATCAGTAATAGCAATTGAACTCAACACAAAAAGTCCCAGTTCCAAAAAAGGAATCAACGGCAACTTCGAATGTTACAGGACCCAACTGCTATAAGTCTATAACCAAGATCTTGAATCAGTTCCAACTTCAATTCTTAACACACGGGAAGAATTTTCAAATAAGTTTTGTAGCAAAATAAGTGTATCCAATCAAAATTCAAACTTCAAGAACACGAATTTTCAACCTTGTAAGGACCAAGCAGAAGAAGTTCAAAAATATTTCTATACAATCTCTTTAATCAGCAAATTATTTAGCTCAAACAATAAGGGGACTGAAAATGTTGGAATCGATGATGGGAGAAAATGGTGGAATCAATGATGTCTCAGATATATTTGTGAAAATGTCTATGTAAAAAAGAAAAACCAGTAACATACAACCAGTAAAGTGACAGTATATGGTAAAGCACTAAATCTTCATTCAGTTCTTTTGCTTTATGATTATCCGAAATTCACAGGATTTAGTGTTCGTCAACTACTTAAGTCCAGAACAATAGTTACCCAGTATCACATATTAGAGTAGAAATAAATAAAATTTATCAACAAGGAAAAATTTCGAGAAAGAAAAAAAACCCCATACCTAATTTTTATAACAAAGCGCAATTATCATTGAAATTGACGAACTTTACCCAAAACCAAAAATAAATAAAATATTACTATAATAAGCAGGAAAAAAAAGAGTTATGATTGTGATCAATTAAAGAGGACCCAGATGAGATATGGTAAAAAGAAAGAATCTTGCTAAACCCATAAGATAAATCAAAGATGAGAAGGAAGCTCACCAATTTGCGGTTCATATTCTTGTTGTGATTGATCGAAAACGGAAGTGATTATTTGGTTGTGATTAACATTTTGCGATTGTTTAGATAAGGGTTCAGATTAGGAAATTACAAGGAAAAGGAAGAGGAAGTTGAAATCGGAACTGAACTTCCTCTCTCTGCGTTTGGAGTTTGGACTATGCCTATGTGTTCGTTCAATTTTTGCTTCAGGATTTATGTGAACCCAGAACGCAATTACATTTGTTGACTAAAAATTAACTTTTTAATTTAGTATCCAATTTTCATTGAAAAATTACTTTCTATAAAATAAATTAATTAAGAGCTCTTTTGTCCAAGTGATTAAAAATTACTTATTCTGATAATTTGTATTTGATTAATTTATTTTAAAAATACTTTTGATAAACATATTATGTTTAACTAATATTATTTTAAAAAGTTAAATCACAAATAAGAATAAGTATCTATGCACCTTTACTATAAATTTATTTTATAGAAAGAAAATTAATTTATATAATTATTATAAAAAAATTTAATGATATTTTACTTTTATTTATTGAAAAGTATATTTCAAATTTTCAATACATTATAATACATAAATAAATTAAATAGTGATATATTATTAACATGGAGATTTAGCTATAAAAAAAATTATCAACCAAAAAAATATTTAAAACTATTTCACAAATTAAATCAGTACGAAAAATTCACCACAATATAAGTAGAATTTGTTAGCTGCAAAGGTAAAACTATGAGTTATGCTAATAAATTAATAAGAGATATATAGTAAATATATATAAATGGTATGACATTGTTAACTTGAAAAAAATAATTTTTTGCTCCGCACAAAACTGTTTCTGCTTCTATTTAAAAACAATTTTACACCTCATTTCTCAGAGAACAAAAAAGAAGAGAGTATTTTTTTCTAAGAAAAAAATAAAATGTTTTTGGCCTCCCAACCGCTTGCCTAAACAGACCAAGTAAGGGAAAGTAATGCAGAAGTTATGCATTTCTCTTTCAGCATCTATAGAATTGTTTATCCTCTGAACATGTCCCTTACAAATGAATTATCTTCTAGTACTATACAAAGATAGGGAAAAGGCAAGAGTTCTATTATATCTTCAGTTACAAAAAGGGTTGGCCGCTAAGTCACTCGAATAAGTAATACAACCATGACAAAGACTAATGTCATGACAAAGATCAAAAGCCACTGGAAGCATGTTGTCTTGAAACTTCGCGAATACACATCCATTGCTCTGGAAGTTGCATGCCCTGTGCTTGCCAGGCTATGCTCAACTGCTTTCTCAGTTGAATCAAGTATCTACATCCACATTATATATGACAACAATGAGGACAATATTTACAAAGGGACTAGTAAAACCAGAGACTGAAGTAAAAAGTTTGTAACTAGACAAGATGAATCAGAAATCCAGTGAATCTGAACAAACTGAATACCACAGTTTTTTATTTCTTTTCCGCACTGAATTAGTATAGAATCTTCAAACATGTAGTAATATCAGAGATAGACTAATAAAATATTGTTGTGTCAGAAAAGATAGTTTAGGTTACCAATGGCCTCAATTGCCTCCCAACAGGAAAAAATAGTTTAGATTGGAGACACAAAATTATTCTCAAAGAAAAATTGTTAAGAGTAAGTTCCCAAGTCCCAACAATTTAAGCAAAATGAAACGAAACAAAGACTTACTTTCTCGGTGTTTTTGATGGATTGATTCATCATGAGACTGCTCTCTTTGAGCTGCCGTGCCAAAACAACCATTTCATCAGTCAAATCCTCCTGAAGTTTCCTGCAAAAGATGAGAATGTCTGATAGTTTATCAAGTAGACTCTACCTAACTAATCTCACCCCTCTCTGAGAAAAATAAATATTGCATAAATAAGTGATTAGTTTCTGTGGTTACTTCTCTCCTACAATGAAAAAGACTGGACAAACATATGGTAGTGGCAAAGATGCACTATGGATCATGTAGTAGAACAGTTGGGAACATACATCTAGTTGAGGCACATATACATACATCACTTCAGATGGAGGCCTAGGTCTCCTAAGAGCCCCAAACTCTCATCTTCAATTTTCAAATATATGCTTCCAAACAACTCTCTATCCACATGTGTTAGTTGCAGAGATGATGTACAATTCCCTTACTTCTGCGCAGTGCCTCAGCTCAGTGATAAAAGTAGGCCTCACAAGTGTAGATAAGCAATTTTACTTGGATCATTACCTGATGAAATCAGCTACTGATCAGTCAAGCTCCACCATTGATGGAGCTTCAACTCACATGAGAGAAGATGAGAGAAGAAGAGAGAAGAGAAGAGAAGAAGAGTCTAGAAGAGCAACATGAAAATTATCTCTCATTCAATGTGAATTAAAACTACAAGAATTACAATGTGACTATATATATAATCACTGGCAGAAATTAACTAACTAACAAACTTGATTCTAACTAACTCTACTGTACATAGATTCTAACTAACTCTACTGTACATAACAGACTCTACTGTACATAACTAACTAATTATACTTTATATTCTCATCACCCCCCCTCAAGTTGGAGGTGATGTAATTACAGACAACTTGTGCAATAAGGCAGTATGTTTAACTCCAGTCAGAGCCTTGGTGAAGATGTCTGCCAACTGTGAATCAGTGGGAATATGATGGAGTGTGATTAGGCCTTGTTGAAGCTTGGTCCTAACAAAGTGACAATCGATTTCTATGTGCTTTGTCCTCTCATGAAAAACTGGATTCTTTGCAATGTGGACTGCTGCTTGACTGTCACAATGGACAGAGATAGGTAAGGAGCATTGTACAGTCAACTCATCCAACAATCTTTCAAGCCACACTAGTTCTCCTACAACTTGCCTCACAGCTCTATATTCAGCTTCAGCAGATGACAAAGACACTGTTGCTTGCTTCTTAGACTTCCAGCTGATAGGACTATCACCCAGAAGCACTAGGTATCCACTAACAGACTTCCTGGAATCAGGGCAAGCAGCCCAATCAGAATCACAATAAGCACTGATAGTGAGATCAGGCTTGTTTGAGATAAAAATCCCCAATGTTGGATCCTGTTTCAAATATCTGAGCACATGGTATGCTGCTTTTAAATGTGGTTCCCTAGGTGATTGCATAAATTGGCTCAAGTGTTGTACACTATAAGCTATGTCCATTCTAGTGTTGGTCAAAAAGTTTAGCTTACCAACCAACTTCCTGTATTGAGTAGGATCAGATAAAAGATTGCCATCTGTAGCTGTTAATTTCTCAGTGCAATCAAGTGGTGATGTAGTGGCCTTGTGACTTAACACATCAAAATCTTTCAGGAGATCAGAAGTGAATTTCCTTTGTGAAACTAGCACTCCATCATGTCTGTATAATATTTCCAGTCCCAGAAAGTAGTGTAGTTTGCCCAAATCCTTTATCTTGAACTGATCATTTAAGAAGCTCTTTAAGGAGTTGATTTCAGCCACATCTGTTCCAGTTAGAATTATATCATCCACATATACAGCAACAAACACCAAGGAGCAGTCCTTCCTTTTGTAGAACAGTGAGTAATCACTGTCTGAGTGCTGATACCCTCTTGAACATAGACAGTTTGCCAACTTCTCATACCATTGCCTGCTGGCCTGTTTTAGTCCATACAAAGACTTCTTCAATTTGCACACCATGTTATCACAACCTACTACAAGACCTTGTGGAGGTGCCATGTACACTTCCTCATGTAAATCACCATGTAAGAATGCATTATTGACATCTAGCTGATACAAGCTCCAATCTTTCTTAACAGCTAAAGAGATTAATGTTCTAACAGTAGTCATTTTAACTACAGGTGAGAAGGTTTCAGTGTAATCCACCCCAGCTTGTTGTGTATAACCTTTGACCACCAGCCTAGCCTTGAACCTCTCCACACTCCCATCAGCTTTGTGCTTGATTTTGTACACCCACTTGCACCCAATAGCTTTCTTCCCATCAGGTAACATGACCATCTCCCAAGTGTCATTAGCATACAAAGCTTCAAACTCCTGTGTCATGGCCTGCTGCCAGGCAGGGTGCAATATTGCTTCCTCAAATGAAATAGGCTCACATTCATGTGAAATGGTTGTTACTAACTGCTGACTATCAGAACAAAGACTGGTGAAACATACATGTTTATGGGGAGATATAAAGGAAGTGAGGGAGTGCAGCTTGGGTATGGTGTAGGTGTATTCTTTTAGGTAATTAGGAGTGTGTATGGTTCTGGTTGTTCTTCTAGGTGCTGATATTGTAGGTACTGGTAAAGTATCATGATGCATGGTGGCATTTGGGTCAGGTAAGGTAGGTTGAGTTGTAGATTCATGTAGGACAGCAGGTGGTACTTCATTCATGTTGGTATTACTGGTTACTTGATTATTAGTGACTTCATGTGGTGTGAAATTTTCCAGTTGATCATCATTAGCAAAAATGTTCATATTACCAGACATACAAGGCATGCTAGTGGTATGAGTAAGCATTTGCAGAATGGAATTGAAACTAGAACCATCAGGGGCAATAACAAAAGGAAAAATATTTTCTTGAAAAATAACATCTCTTGATATATGAACTTTCTTGGTAGCTAAATTCAAAACTTTGTAACCTTTTGTATTGAAAGGGTAACCAACAAAAACATGAGGTGTGGTTCTAGGTTCAAATTTATCTTTGTGAGTTTTCAAGGTAGTGGGGAAACAAAGACAACCAAAACTCTTAAGGTGGGAATATGTAGGTGATTTATGGTACAACATTTCATATGGAGACTTATTCTGTAAAAGTTGAGTAGGCAGTCTATTAATCAGGTATGTGGCAGTCAATACACATTCCCCCCAGTACCTCATAGGCAACTTTGACTGAAACAAAAGTGCCCTTGCTGTTTCAAGTAGGTACTTATGTTTCCTTTCTACCACCCCATTTTGTTGAGGTGTATAAGGACAAGTTCTTTGGTGTATGATACCTTTGTTTTGGAAGAAATTTGTGGCTTCAGTTGAAGTAAACTCTAACCCATTGTCAGATCTTATGGCTTTTAACTTGGTTTGGAATTGGTTTTCTATGAGAGATATGAAGGCTTTGATAGTTTGGAGAGCATTACTCTTACATCTCAGCAATTGTGTCCAAGTGGACCTACTGTGGTCATCTACCATAGTGAGGAAATAATGATATCCATCATGAGTGGGAACATGATATGGTCCCCATAGGTCAACATGTAACAACTCAAACACTTTAGTGGTGGTGGTGATACTTTCTGGAAAAGGCATCCTAGTTTGCCTAGCCATAGGGCATATATTGCAAGTAAAAGGCTGTTTAGGAGAAAAATGAACAGGTATAGTTGAGATTTTTTTCATTTTTACAAAAGGTACATGTCCTAATCTAGCATGCCACAAAAGTTCATCATCATGAGTGTGATTAGAGACATTTGCAAATGAAGGACAAGCATGAGTAAAACAAGAGGAAGGAAAAACAGTACAATCTGCCTTATTCATAGGAGAGTATTTTACAGAAGAACCAGTGGACACATTAGAATCTGAAACCCTGCTAGTATTGCCTAAAGAAGAGACAAGAGGACAATTAACATGAGGTGCTTTACTCTCAGCAGATGGACAACAATTATGGCATTTGTGACACAAGAAGTACAGGCCATTCTTGGCTTTACCAAGTTCCAGAGGGCTCTTCAGAGAAGGGCCCTGCAGCAAACAAGAAGATTTGTCAAAACTGACTACACCATTGAATTGTAGTGCTAAACAATGAACAGAAATGAGATTAAACTTGAAGCTAGGTACAAATAACACTTTGCTTAGAGTCAAAGCTGGATTTAAACAAGCATCACCAATTTCAGTCACTTTAACCTTGTAACCATTAGGGAGTGAAATTAGAAAGGGATATGGAAGTGAAATGATGTTTGTGAGGGTGGTCTTATCATAGGTCATATGGTGTGATGCTCCTGAATCTATGATCCAAGAGCCAGCAGTTAGTTTAACACATTTACAAGAAAGATCACCTATATCAGTAATAGAGGAATAACATGCAAGTATACCTGCCAAGTTCACAGCTCCATTCAGCATGTTGTCTGAATTTGAGGCTCCATTTCCAACTTGTAAAGTTCCCAGGAGATTGAGTAGTTGTTCATATTGATCTTTGGACAAGTTCAATGGCATTTGTCTCCTTACTTCAGGTTCTTCTTCAGATTGAACCCCATTCATATCAGGGGCACACACATTTGCTGCAGCTTTTCCCTTTTTGAACCTTGGATTTGGATTGGATGGGTATCCATGAAGCTTGTAACATCTATCCTTTGTGTGTCCTGATTTCTTACAGTAGTCACAAAACAAAGAAGACTTGCCAGTGCTAGAATTGCCTCTAAACCCAGCATTACCAGAACTGGTTCCACCTCCTCCAGATGAACTGTAGTTTGTCCGGAATCCCCTGTATCCTGCACTGCTGTTGGTCTGTCCATAAGCATTGAGAGAGGTAGAATCCAAGGCTGTATGATTATGAGGCTTCACCTCCCTTTGCTTCTCTTCTTGGGACAAGATGGCAAAAGCCTGGGCCATACTTGGTAGAGTATTCATCATGAGAATGTTGCCTCGGACTGCAGTATACATCTCATTTAAACCCATTAGAAAGTGTATAAGCCTGCGATCTTGTTCAGCCTTAACCAATTTTGTTTTACCACCACAAGTGCACACACAATTGCACTGAGAGCTGATATCAATAGTGCTCATTTCTTCCCAGAGTTTCTTCATTTTAGTGTAGTAACCAGTGATATCCAGAGTGCCTTGGACAAGGTCA